TAATACAAAAACAGTTAGACATTTTCAATTTATAATTTAACTACTTAGAATATCAAGAATTTTGTAAAACGTGTTTTATAAGTTCATAAAATAAATATGATTCATAAATGTTCATATATTATACTGTATAAATATATATTTTATATATTCTTTGATCAAACAAAATTAATTAAATCAAGAAAAAAAATTTTACTACGTACATGTTTAGCTAAAATTTGCATGTTAATTCCGAAAATAATAAAAAATTAATTGCCGACAAACCAAAAATAAAATTATAAATTAAATTTGTAACACAAAAAAAATTAAATAAAAAAAAAAACAAAAAAAATTAAACATGAAAAGAAAATATAAAAAAAATTAATTCAATTTAAATAAGAACGAGTTAAATAATAAAACGTGATTAGCATTTAAAAGCGTATTGCTTCGTATTGTATTTCATATATTGTAGATATCCGTATGAGTACTAATTCCGGCCATATACAATTACCAAACAATTGCAAAAGTATTTTTATTTTTCATTCAAAATTATGTGCGAACATTGAGTTGAGTTTGATATTAAAAAAAAAAAATTAATTCCATTTTTTTTTGAACAGTTTTGATGATGATTTGGCGGCGGCGCCATGTATGCCACTTTTCTAGAAATGCAATTGTATCTGTTAATTGTTTTTGCAAAGTGTCGTCCTTAAGTGAGAACTAAAACAATTTCAATTTCAACAAAACAAAAGCGAACTTTTTTTTATTTTTAAGTTTTTTTGTAATTTTAATTTTAATTTTAATTTTTTTTTTTTTTTTTTGCAATTTTACTTTTTAATGTTTTTTTTTAAACTAATTTTTATCTCATGCATGTAATAAATTTTAAATTGTGGGACAGGCGGGCAAAGCTTGCAGCTCGTTTTGTTTCGTTTGTTATTTCAGCAATTATTTATTTTGAAATTTATTTGAAATATAAATTATTGTAGACAGTTCGGATAGGTAAACAAAAATAAACTGAAAATGTACTAAAATAACTACTCCTAACTGAAATGAAATTCAAAGCATAAAACAATTAAAAAAAAGCTACAACAAAACAATGATTATAATAAAAGCAACAAAATAAATAATGACAGTGCGCCGAAAGCTTTAATTATATGCGCCCGCCAATTGTGTCGCACTTAAATAAATAACATAAAAGAAATTTAAAAACAAAAAAAAGACACCAACGCCATTTTTTTTTCAACTCTCTACACGAAAAGAAAAATGTTTGTATTGATTGGTTGAAAGAGCCTTCTTATTGATATCATCAATGTGAACTTTCTCCTTGAGTTTTTGGTAGTGACATTAAGAAGATTAATGTTATATAAAATGATTTTTATTTTCAAAAATAATTATAAACTTATTTTTAAGAAACAATAAATAGAATTTAACTGATTTATGTAATGTTCACATCAAAGAATTAATAATTTTTACTTATTGAAATATGCATTGCACATAAAAAATTATTTTTGTACAAATATACAATGTACATTTTAATTAGATTAACAATTTTTATCAACACAATATGCTAACATTAATCCGAATACTCTTTAGTGAAATAAGGATAAAATTAAAAAAAAACTGTCTTATAATGTTCCAAATTCTTTTATATAACACGCAAAATTTAAATTTGACTTGTATAGGGAGTAAACCTAAATTTTAACAGATTAATATCATAAAAAGATATCAATATTATTATAATAAATTTTTATAAGATTGTTAGATTGTTTTTTTTAATAGTTATATATATGTCAAAAAACTAAGCATGTAATATGACTGAAAATGTGTACATAAGTAAAAAAAATTTTCAAATCAAATATATTTAAGTTAATTCGGATGGAATTTAGCGCAACTATTGAAATATCATTTTTCAATAAAAAACCACTTTTAATTGTTTAGTTTATGTGGTGGCAAATATGTGACTTCCGATTATATTTATCTCAAAAATATTCCCAGACGACTATGTTTAAAATTTGATAAATGTGTCGTAAATGTGTTCACTTCGTGAACGTATCTGTAGGTAGGTGAAATGCAAAAAAGGACAGCTTGTTCTGAATTATCAGAAAAGTGTTTTTATTCCACATTCCTCGTAATTTTAGGTGAAAGAATTTGTATATTAGAATTAATGCACGGACGCATTTATAAATGTTAGTATTTAACCAATACTACTATTATAGAGAACACGACACCTTATGTCTGGTTCCAGAAAAGCCTGAATATAGATACAATAGATGCTCCAGTTTCACCTTTTCGAGCGCCTATACACATGTACTACAGGAGATGTGCCATGACATGCCTAGGCTTGGCTCCATGCGGTTCTATATTCTAGTGTCTCCTTCAGACAGATATTAACCTAGCTACTTCTGATTTACTTCCATTAACGTAACTGTATTTACATTTTATTCATTTAACATTTTTTTAACATTATGAATATTACTAATAAAAACAATATTTATTTAATACATGATATTTTTATTTCTACTAAAACATATAATTAAAATCACTAACATTTTTTTTATGCTTAACTATTAACTTAAAAGCTTAAATGTTAAGCATTAAATGCAACGAAACATAACGAAACGTGCTCCAATTCACGCCATTTTACACTTTTTTTTGAGTTTTTTTATTTTAAACAAAACAAACAACAATAAATAAAAAACATACTCAAACAACCAATAACAACAACAACTACAAAAGACTTTATTAAAACTAAAATCATAAAAAAAATTGCAATGCGATGCGCCAAATTGCATATAAGCTTCGACAGCAAAGTTGTTTTAACTGCACCAAGGGGGGTTGGTCGTTAACATAAAGCATCAAAGCAATGTCAACGAGTTTATAAATTTTCGTGAAGTGTTGGTGTCGGTGTCGACTGTAGCGCCCATTCAGTTAAGTTAAGCATGAGAAAAAAAATTATTTGCATTTACATATAAAGACACGCACAAAGCCGGTCAGTGTGAACGCATAAAGACAAACAGACAATTCGACAAATGAAAAGACGGGCGGACACTGTACAACTTTAATAAAAAATAAATAATAATTGATGCATTTTGTGCTAGAAAATTGGTTCATGCGGCAATTTGCATATGCGTTATGCCTCAATTATTTTTTTTTCTAAATTGTTTTAAGCAGCTTAATTTTAATTTAAAATTAAGAAAAAACAAAGTTAAAAAATAAAAACAAAAATTAGAAAAAAAAAATAGAGGAAAAAATATTAAAAACGCAAGAGTAACAAACTTTTAAATTTAATTTTGCTATTGAAACTGATAGCAGATACCTAAAATTTAGAATAAATAATTAATGTCGTATAAATATGCCAAAGTTCATAACCTTAACCCCTCAGCTGTGTTTGTTTATTTGTTTGGTGCCTGCCACACAAGGCCGTAATTAATTTACATTTAAGTAATTATTTAATTTATAAATTTGTGTATGTACATATTGATTTAATTTTTTTTTTTTGTGAACTAATTTCGGGAAGAACATTTATGTACCAAAGCCACGCCATAGTCATACACAATTAATGCAAAATTCAATTAATTAAACTCATTCATTTGTCTTACTTAGTTTACTAGCTGGCTAAGCCAGGCCAGGCCATGCCAGACCAGCAATGCTTGCGAAATGCTGCTAATTAGCGTTCGTGGTTCTGCATAAAATTATCTTTATATGTGAAAAAATTAAAAAAGTAAAAAACTAAAAAAAAAAAAAACAAAACAAAAAAAATTAAGTTAACAAAACTACATTCGCTACAAGTAAAAAATAGTAAGTATCGCGGGCAATGCAGTAAAAATGTATTCCCACCGGATTTCCGGGTGTAGCGTAAAACGGTGCCCATGTGCCGCACACAATATATTAAATTTCACTTTGTAATGTATATGCGACAGTGTCAGTAGTGTTCACTACCCGCTGGTAATACTGTTGTTGTTGTTATTTTTGTTATTGTAGAATTTCATTCAACTTCACATGTTTTCTTGACTCAATTTCTAATGTCCATTTTGTTGTACTTTATTGCCTTTTTTGTTGCAGAACAGTACATTGTTGTCGGTCTTTATTGGGGCATAACTGCCAACAAATGACCCATAAAAGTATGCGTATTTTTGAATACATCATGCATATGTCGTTGAAATCGGTCGGTTATAGCGTCTATAGAATTTATAAAACGCAGTTAGTGTAATGCATAAATGTTACATGAATAATTATTGAATAGAAAGAAAAGTAAGTTTCTTTTAGTTAATAAAATATTATAATAAAAATTAATTATTTCGAATTACTATGTTTTAGTACCCATTTTATTGCTACAGATTAAGGTCTAGGTTTATGACTAGCTTTTATAATAAAAAAATATGCATAAATTTAAAATATGCAAATTAATATGTTAGAGGCTGTGAAAAACATTCATAATAAAAATATGTATAGAAACTATAATAACAATAAATTTTAAAAACAATTTTTGATAAAATTAGTTAAATTGTCACTTAAAATTGTAAGTATTTGCTATTGAAGTTTTTACTACAAATTCAAGGTGGTCTAATTGCAATTGCAAAATTGCAATCAACTTCAAACTGCTACCAACTTTCGAACTGTGGCAACACTTAGTCCATATTTCGTCTAATAGCAGCCGATGTTGATTTTATAATATTTATTTCTCAGATTTTTTGATTTTATTTCAGATTTTTTTTTGATTTCTCAGACTTGACAGCTAAAATACTTAGGCGAAATTTACTGTTGTTATAGGTTATGGCCAGGAGGGCCTTTAAATGTGTTATCTTCCTTAACATGTTAGAAATTAAACCTAAAACTGGGTTATTATTATTTTATAATATTTCAGTAGGATATAGTAGCTATTTATTCTTGGTTGTTTTTCTTCTTTTCTGCTAACTAATAGCACTTTTTCTACGATTTAAGCAGCATTTGTTTATAAAATTTTATTGATTTTTGTTTAAAGATATAAATAAAACATAATCAGCATTTACTAACGATATTTGCTATCAATGTCTGCGTCTGTAAGTTCTTATTTAGTAAACTTTACAACAAAATAACTTTTGTGAATAGGGTATTAATATTATAATTCTGTTAAATATATCATATATTTATTTAAGTATATTATAATAAAGTTATATATTTTTAAAAATTGTAAGAGGAGGGGTCTCTTACTAGATCTTGACAATTTGTAGTCAACTTTTAACTCTTGAAAGTTGATACAAATACATCTTCGATATATTTAAAATATGAAATTACGACAATGACTGGTATAGTCGTGTACCGCATTCATATCTTCACAGTTAAAGTATACTTAAAATGTACTTAAATTATAATATACATGTATAAAAAAGAACTACTACTAATATATTATTCAATATATCAAATTAATCTATAATTACAACTGATACGTTTAGTCTTATAGTTTCTTATACTCTCTTAGCAACCAGAACAAATTAATGAAATATATTGCATTAATTAGCAAGATAATTATAGTATATAAGTCGTATTTCTAATTAGTGTATAATTAACTGTCTAATTAGCACCAATTTTTAATAATATTTTTGTCTTGAATTTATACCTACAACAAAATACAACAAAAATATGCGGGTAAATATAAAATTTTTTGTATAAAATTAGTCTAAAAACTAATTATATGTCAACATCCTATTTCAAAACACTTTAATAAACAAAAACCAAAAATGTTCATGAATACAATGTTTGTTAGATTGCTTTAAGTTAACTAAATGAAGTACTGAAATATTAACTTTCAACCGAGGCCATCAAATAACGAGCCACACCACACCAGTGCCTCGGAAGTTGTTGCACATACACAAACCCATAAGGCCTGGCCGTGCCCCTTGCATTAACGTGATTAACTTTGTTATAACTTCCTAAATTTCATTTCTCATGCAGCAAAAGCATAAAACACATTGTAATCCAGTGAAATAAGGTCGCTGTTAACATGAAACATTGCCAGCCAAGTAGCTACATTACAACCGCACAACAATGAAAAAAAAATCGACTTAAAAAAATAAACAAGCATAGATAGATAGATATCCAAACTATTATAAGCTGGTTGGATTGATGGTTAAGAAAAGGGCCCATTAACAACGTTTACATGTCAGTGGGCTGCTGGTACTCTACCCACAAATGCCCGAATTGCAGCCCAAATTAAAGCTATGAACTTACACGTAATAACAGCAGTTCCGTTGCACCAACCTACTGTGTTATCAATTCATTTTTTTTCTTTTTTGTACTTCTGTAGCTTTTACAATTTATTAATTTATATAAATTTTTTAATTTTTGTTTTTTATATATTTTTAATTTGTTTAAGAAGTTCACTTTTCCGATTTTATAGCACGGAAATTGCTACCCACGTGTGTCGGCTAGCAACAGACTTAGCAGCGCTTATGAGTTTATGAATGAAACTGCTGTTGTGCTGGATTTTGAAATACCCAGCAGCTTTGCTGTTATGCCATTGTCAGCAGCGCAGTGCCATTGTGGCACTGGCGGCACTGGCTCCAGCGTAAGTCATACTGTTGTATTATGGCTCGTTTATCGCCCACACCGCACAGCAACTTGCTAGCTTGCCAACCATGAGGAACATCACCCACATCTGTGCACAAATTTTGCTGAATGAATACAAAAACTATGTATAATATTATGAGTGTATGTTCCATTACATGCCGAGCAAGTATTTTTCAGATACGAGTATCTGCATTGTTATTGTAGCTGCCAAGTGCAGCATGTCGGTTACTTGGAATTACGTGCGTTAGATTTTGACACCTGTTGATGTTGTAATTTGAATTTCAACATAGAATGAACAGAGTTGCATACAAACTGTGCAAAAATGCTGTTAAGCCCACAATAAAAATATAAGATTTATTTGCCTGCAAGATGCGCATCTCAACTTCAAAAGTAGCTTAGCTACATAGCCAACAATAGAAGAGACAATAGAAAAAAGATACTATTGTGAGTTTTTTTTTGGTTCAAAGACCGTTCGTGGTTTGTGGTTATGGCAAACTTGAACTTGCACTACGTCGTATGCGGAAATTATAATAAATTTAATAAACTGCTTTTAGTTTTTGTTTCTATTATTTTAATTAGCCAAACCAAGTAATTAGTTAATTCACTGACTACTACTAAAATAGTCAGCGGTATTTATTGTTTCGAATTAATTTTTTTTTTTTGTATAAAATTACTATAATGTTTTTGCCTAATTAAAGATTGCAGTTAATTGCGTTTATTAGCCAAAATTGAACTTGAGTTGAGTGTACCGAATTTTATAATAAAAGTTTTCATAATAAAATATTTAACAAAGTTATTGCAGTTAATGAAAATCAACTTTGAAGTTTAAAAAAAAAATTTAATTTACGTTTTAACATTTGCTACTTAAGGCTTAAGTCGAATTTTTGTTGAACTTAGACATTTTCTTCATTGTTTCGCGGTTCCAGTGCGCATTAGATGCGCATATTTTTAACTAAACTAACAATGGATTAGCGTTTTGCTGAAATTGTTTTTGAATCACGTTTTTATTCTTGAATTCTGTTATTTCTTTTTATTTAAACTATTTGTATGAAAAATTATGGTAATAAATCATTGCTGTTGTTGTCCGCCCTTGAACTTCATTTAGTCAAAATTCAAACCTAAACGGAAACAATCGAAAGACATTTCGTTTTGTATATTCATTTTACAGCTTGTTTTTTTATTCTAATACTAATGAGTTAAAATAATAAATATACGTAGTTTATATACCATTCATTGACTTTAACACTTTAAAATATAAACAATAATAAATTATTGCCAGTTGTAAAGAACACAAATTTTATTTGAAAGGAAAATGTATTTATTTCTCATAGAACTTTTAAAAATATTTTAGTAAAACTTTTATGAAACAATAAATGTACTCAGTTTATCATATTATTTTATTTCGAATCAATAGCAATAAGAAAAAAATTAAATATTAAATTATTGCTATATTGACGATATGAGATACAGAAAGTAATTAAAGATTGTTATGATTTGTTTTTTTGTTACTCAGAAAATTTTATTAAGGAAATATTTGAATATTTAACCCCAATGTAATGTTCTTTGCAATAATGTGACCAATCAACCTTTCTTTAAAAACAATTTTTTGAACAGAACTTTTGAAATTTTTGAATCATATTAAGTTTTACAATAAACCCCAAACAAAATTCACAATAATTAAAATTAATAACTATGGTAGACATTCTTTACTTCTTCTTTCTTACCACCACAATCCGCAAAAAACCATAGCTTTCTCAGCCACTACTCTCTATTGCTTCCCATCCGTTTAGCCATATTTCTAATCTTTCATTCCCAATCTTTTTAGATCTGAGTCTAGTCAGACAATTTTGTAAGCTGCAACTTGAAAAAGAAGAGCTGCCAAATTTTTAAAGTTTTTAGAACTTAATCTAATCTATTAGTAATAATTTTTTCTTGCCGAGATTAACACATCCTTATGACAAAAATAAACTATTTAAAAGTTAGAGAGATTCGAATAGCAAAGAAAAGACAAGGACAAAAATTTTTTATTTAATTTATTGAAATTTGGCTGACCATACAACGCTATTTCTAGTATTGCGAAGTACTCATCATCAGTGGTCTAATCTAATATAATCTTAATCTTATATTGTAATTTGTAAAAAATTGAAATTTTGTGATTCAGATACTTATTTATTGGCATCACTTTGAACAGGTTTCATATAGTCTCCTCTTCTACTTTCTCTGATGGATACTCTGAACAAACTTGTTTCGCTGTTATATTAATACACATTCTAACTAATTGGCCTATCTATGTTATACACTTAGATTTAATATTTTGACTTTTTATATGCTAACTCTCCCAGCATTATAGCAAATTCGAAATAATCGATCGAAGAACATCGAGAAAATATATTGTTTTACGCGAAAATGTATTATATATATTTAAGATCTGTCATTTTCTATCATTCTACAAGCACATATATTATATATATTTAAGATCTGTCATTTATATATTAACAACTGCGTAATATACTTTTTAAAGTGGATTAAAATTTTTTAACTGCAACACTTTCAAATGTACATATTAAGGATCTATTAACTGCCTGCAATAACTAACTATTATACCAAAATATTTTAAAACGTCTATTTTGTACCTTATGGCTTTACTGATATTATTTCTTACTGATGTTACATTTAAGTTTGTGCAATGTATATTATAAATGTGTATTATATTAAAAAAATATAAAATAATTTATGTATTGTAAATATTAAGAGTTTTAGTTTATAATTTTATTAGTAAAACATTCAACCTTTACTATATAATAAATCAAATTAACTTTTAAAATACTAATTAAAAAGAATTTTATAGGTAATATATCTTGGAAAAATATTCTCGTAGAAAGTTTTATATTAAATATTGTAAATGAAATAAATTTTATTTAATACAATTAATGAACATTTTTGCTTTCATCTTTAATCTTAAAAAAAGAATAAATGCTGCCAAATCCATTTAATTAATTAAAATATCTCAAAGATAACATTGAATTGTCATGCTCAACATTTGTTCTAAAGTGTTTAGTTTTTATGTTATAGAAGCAACAAAAACTATTAGTTTGCTAAAAAGAAGAATATATAAAAAATAGTATTTTATGAATATTATTTCAATGTCAAATAATATTTATATACGCTTATTTATAAAAACATATTCTAAGATGAAATATGGCATTTTTTTCACATCAATACTAAAAAATTACTTAAAAAAAAGTTAGAAGCAAATTTAAAATCTAACAAGATTATGAATCTACTAACAACAAACACATTGTGTGTATTCATTAACTATTTATAAGAGAAAAAAAAATAAATTTATATTACTTAACTCATAAATTCATATCTATTAGTAATAACATTTGCATTCTATCGACAAATGAAAAATAAAATGAAATTTATACTCCCACGCTTCTAGTAGGTGTTGCTTAAGTAGTGGCTCGCTTAGAAAATAATTACAAAATAATTTTATTTATATTCTAGTCTAAAATATGAGTTATTGTGAAATTATACTTATACTATATAATAATTTAATGCAACAAGTAAAAATCATTAATTTAAACATATGTATTTTGTAGTAAGTTCTTTACATAATGGTTCATATTTGTTTCATAACTAGGAACGAAATACTTATATAATATTTTTTAACATATATGTACATATGTCGATATATTATAATAATATATACTTAAATATATTTATTTAGCTTTTGTGTCTTAGCAAACAAGTAGAAAAATATTATTATTAATTTTTATTTTAATAAATAAAATGAATGAAGAAAACGTGTAAGCAAAAGTCAACATACATATATATTATTTTTAGTTTTTTATTTATATTCTTATATTTTAAATTTTTAAATTTATAAATATTTTTAAAAATTTAGTTTAGAAATTACAAATTTAATACTATATATTTTATGCTTAGGGAGTGCCCGGCACTGATGCACAAGCGAAAGAAAAACCTAAGAGGGTATTTCATGGATCATAAGGATCCAAGACTAGGAAAAGTAAGCTCTATACTTCATAAGCTCTTATATTCCATTAAAGAAATCGGACTTGTAGAAACACTCTAATCCGACTAAGGGACACAATAGATCTTTTAGGTCGTAGTGCACGATTCCTTCCTTTCCTTCCTTATTTTTTTTTTTATTTTTATTTGGCTAAGTAGTTATTTTTATTTTAATTTATTTGTTTTATATAATATTAAATTATTAAAAAAAAATCTCTTTTAAATGCGAAAATTTTTTCACTTATACCGATCTTTTCTATTCGTAAAGTATTTCTTGTTATAAAACATAAAATTCTTAATTAAATTACTTTTTATTAAAATTTAGAGATGTTTCTTTCTGATCGTTTCAAATCTTTATTAACATAATTATTAAAATAAATAAATAAAAGTTATTTATTTAAAAAATATTTTTTTCAAAAAATCTATTTTGAGAATTATTGTTATTATTATCTATTGTTATTAAGTTTTTTGTTATAAACATGTGAAAAAAATTATATATAATTATCTGCGGAATATCTCCTATAAGTGTTCTCAAAAAATTCGGAATATGCAATCTGCTAATAAAAAGGTGTTAAAAAGGTCGTCGTAATTGAATTAAATTGAAACTAATTTGTTTTCAATGCATTTTGAGTTGTTTTTGTTAAAGTTTTGTGCGTGAGTGTTAAAATAAAATTTTTTATAAATAAATGATTGATTATCTACAATCTGAAATTTTAAATATATTATTAAGTTGTGTCTTTTCAACTCATTAATCGAGAAGAAAAACGTAAATCGTTAGCATAATTGACTAGGTGATTTAAAATTAATCTGGGCTTAATTGTTTTCTATTTTTTTATTATAAGTATTTAAGAAAGTACAAATATACAATATATATTTATAGAAAAAAATTGTGTTAATATTTATAAGTATAATATTTAATATTATTATTTTTAAATATTTATTTGCAAATTTATCAGAAAAGAAACG